AGCGATATTTTTATTACGAGATTGTTGTGGGCTAGAGCCAGCCATATTTTTATAACGTAATTGTTGTGGGCTAGCGCCAGCGATATTTTTATGACGTAATTATTGTGGGCTAGAGCCAGCCATATTTTTATAACGTAATTGTTGTGGGCTAGAGCCAGCAATATTTTTGTAATGTGATTTTTGTGGGCTAGAGACAGCAATATTTTTATAACATAATTGTTGTGGGCTAGAGCCAGCGAAATTTTTTTGATAACGTGATTGTTGTGGGCTAGAGCCAGCGAAAATTTTTTGATAACGTGATTGTTGTGGGCTAGAGCCAGCGAAATTTTTTTGATAACGTGATTGTTGTGGGCTAGAGCCAGCGAAATTTTTTGATAACGTGATTGTTGTGTGCTAGAGCCAGCGAAATTTTTTTGATAACGTGATTGTTGTGTGCTAGAGCCAGCGAAATTTTTTTGATAACGTGATTGTTGTGGGATAGAGTCAGCGAAATTTTTTTGATAACGTGATTGTTGTGGCCTAGAGCCAGCGATATTTTTATAACGTGATTTTGTGGGCTAGAGCCAGCGATTTTTTTCTACTGTGATTGTTGTGGGCTAGAGCCAGCGATATTTTTATACCATGATTGTTGTTGGCTAGAGCCAGCGATATTTTTATACCGTAATTTTTGTTTGCTAGCGCCAGCGATATTTTTATAACGTAATTGTTGTTGGCTAGATGCAGCCATATTTTTATAACGTAATTGTTGTGGCCTAGATGCAGCCATATTTTTATAACATAATTGTTGTGGCCTAGATGCAGCCATATTTTTATAACGTAATTGTTTTGGCCTAGATGCAGCCATATTTTTATAACATAATTGTTGTGGCCTAGATGCAGCCATATTTTTATAACATAATTGTTGTGGCCTAGATGCAGCCATATTTTTATAACATAATTGTTGTGGGCTAGAGCCAGCGATATTTTTATAACGTGATTGTTGTGGGCTAGAGCGAGCCATATTGTAATTAGGTGATTGTTGTGGGCTAGAGCCAGCTATATTTTTATAACGTAATTGTTGTGGGCTAGAGCCAGCGATATTTTTATAACGTAATTGTTGTGGGCTAGAGCCAGCCATATTTTTATAACGTGATTGTTGTTGGCTAGAGCGAGCCATATTTTAATTAGGTGATTGTTGTGGGCTAGAGCCAGTGATATTTTTTCCTGTCTACATCTCTGAACTGTTGCTTCCTTACTTCCCCACAAGACAACTACGCTCTTCAATTGACAATAGGACACTCTCAATCCCAAGTGCCAAAACTAAGACCATCGTTGAACGCTCCTTCTACTTCCATGCGCCCACGTTCAGGAAGCAGCTCCCCTTCCACATCCGTGATTGTGAAACCTCGCCCACTTTCAAAAAGTCCTTTAAAACCCATCTGTTTAGGTCCGCCTATGACCTGTGATGCACCCTCTTTGCCCTGCCTCCTTAACTGTCTCGGGTTGAACCTGTATTTAAATATTTGCCAAAACGTGCCAAGTTTACTTGTTTTTATAGCCATTTTAATGTTTTAGTTATTGTTTTTATAGACATTTTCACATAGTAGTTACTATTCTATTGGCTATGGTTTTTCATTTTTATTTGCTTTAGCAGTGTTATATAGAGCTTGTTTACCTAATTTTTCTCGTGCGTGCCCTCTGATTGACCCCGCATGAGACGCTGTGTTGACAAAGGGGTGTGGCTTAGTCCTTTGATCTATTCGTGTTTATGCCGCCAGCTACTAAAAATAATTAATCTGTTCCAAGTAGTATTTTGTAGAATGAAGGTAATTTTTCTAGAAAAGTCATAAGTTTTCTGGAAGGCGGGGCTTACGCGACCTATATAAGGGATAGACAGTCACGGGCGGAGAGACGGAGATTCAGATAGATATTATTAACTTTACGAGGCGTGTTTTATTCTTTGTGTATTTGTGTGCTCATATGTGTTTATTTCGCATTATTTATTGGCACATTATTCTAACTGTGTTAACTGTGTACCGGTACAAGATCTACCATACTGTAAGTTGAAAATTGTAATTATATTTTCTTTTCTGTTGTAATTATCTTAAGACTTAATAAATCTTAATTAATTGTAACTAGAAACTGTTTTGGGTGTCGTATCTTTAAAGTTGTTGACTCATTGGTATCGTCCTTTGTTAGGCACTGTTTACAACGAGCCAATTAAAATTAAAATAGGAGATTCATTTCTCCCAATACAAGTCAGTGCGTAACAGCAGTTTAAATAGTTTACATATTTTTAATAATTGTAAAGCACTAAGAGCTGTAAGGTAAGCGTTATAAAAAATGCCTAAATAATAATAATAATAATAATAAAAGGTGAATAGATCCACATATGGTCTGGGAAAAATTCTGCAAATTCATGTTACGTTTGAAATTCAACACACAATGGTTTTGATGGATTAGTGCTAGCCGGGTCGGGCCAAGACGTTTTGCCCCTTCCACCTCCCCCTACCCAACATTTTCAGCTGAGAAAACTTTTGTATTAGGCCGAAAATGCCGCCCCTCAATATAACGGGAAAAAAGTTCCGCCAGGAGCGTCATCTGCATACGCACCCCCACCTGACCCCACCTGACCCCACCTGACCCCCACCTGACCCCACCTGACCCC